TTTTACTAGTTCTTATGTTATGACCTGTGGTGACTTAAACAAACATGCTTACATGATTCTTGTGCTATTTTCTCTGTGAAATTGAACGGGTCAGCACTCTTGCATTATATCAAACTCAAGTCCTTACTTTGTGTTAGTTTATTGGGTTGTTTTTTCGTGGGTTTTTGCAGCTCCCTTTGTTTGAAATCTTAAACAAATCCTCCTCTCAATTCCAAATCCTTCCCACCCAAGATGTAACCTAAGTGAACTTTCTACTTACAAAAGATTGTCAGGTGTAGTTAGGACAGGTGATTTACTGTGTAGATGGTTTGGTCTTGATCTCGGAAGAATTGTTGATGTACTGCTATAGAATTGTAATCATATACTCAAATTTATGTAAGATTTACATGTCAACTGTTCGTGAATTTAAACAGTAGTTATAGGTTTGATATAAAATGTATTTATGTTTTTCTTCTTTCTTTATGTACATAAAAGAAATTTTGGCTATTGTATTATATTTGTTGCCTCATTTGGAAATGAGTCATTGGAACGATAGTTTGAAGGTGCTAGACCGTCGAAACACTCATAACGAATGAAGTTTTATCCTTTTTTTTTTCAAAATAACAAATGACAGACCCAGTGTCCAGGTCCTCGCGGGCGCGACGAACGTCGCGTGAGCGACAAACGCTTTAACAGATCTGTTGGCAGGTCGTCGAGGACGCGACGACCGTCGCGGGCGCGGCATACAATGACAGTTTTATCCTTCTTTTTCAAAATAACAAATGACAGACCCAGTGTCCAGGTCCTCGCGGGCGCGACGAACGTCGCGTGAGCGACAAAGGCTTTAACAGATCTGTTGGCAGGTCGTCGAGGACGCGACGACTGTCGCGGGCGCGGCATACAATGACAGAACCTGGACAGAGAATGTTGTCTCAAAGTCGCGGCCGCGACTGGCATCGCTCCCGCGACACGAATTTTATTTTTTTTTTGCAAAATAACGAATATATATTCGTTTTTTCATACAAAAAAGGATTAAATGATCGTTGTATTGACATAATTATTTGTCACGGCCGCGACAAATGTCGCGAACGTGACACTGGGACCTCTAGAATGGACAAAGAATGTTGTCCTAGTGTCGCGGACACGAAATACGTCGCGGACGCGACAAGAATGTGTGATGAATGGGTTGTTCTAATCTCTTCTTGTCTTCTCTTAGGATGACTGGTGGTCATGGAAAGATTGGCAAGCTATACAGCATTGGCAAATATTTGCAGAGCAATGATCCTGATTTTTTTCATGAACTAATGGAAATAGGAGGACTCTTTCATATGCTAGGATTGCCCGATGTTCATATTTTGGGGCCTTTTATAAGTGTAATTTATGAGTTTTTCACTGCCAAAACTTCCATGTTTACCATTAACGGGCACGTGATGGGTATAACACTCGAAGATGTGCTATACCTTCTACGTTTGCCCATTAATGGTGAGCTTGTCCTCGTGGGAGAGAATTCCCATTTAAGTTACAAAAAATTTTTCGGGGAGGACTCAGAAAAGGTCAAAATATCCCACTTGAACCGTATTGTCTACAATTCTACTGAGAATAAGGAAAAGAGGATGAGAGCTCTGTTGCTCATCATTATTTGGCATTTTGTCATGCCAACTAAAAATGGTGATGGCATCTACCCTAGCCTTGCCTCACTCTTAGAGAACCCCTACAACACTTCTTCAATTCATGCTTGGGGGGCTGCTGTTCTTGCTTTCCTTTATGGTAGAAAAAAGAAAAATAAGGAGGGTGGCAACTTATGGCTAGTCTTGGTAAGTAGTAGTATTATTTTGCATTGTTACCATTATATACAACTTCTAAACTATTATTCTGTCTGTGCAGGCTTTTTTTCTCATCCGGATTCCAAAATTATGGACGATCCTAGGGGTTGAGATTACAAGGGAGGAGCTCGAGGAGCTTGCTCGAGTGGATTATCCATTGAAATGGATAATGACTCGTTTGGAGAAAGTATCAAAGAATACAAGGGTCAATTACAAGGGGGCTCTGAGGAATGCTCTTGAAAGCCTTGAGGATGAGGTATTGAAGTTAATTTACAGTCTTTTCTATCAATAAATTGAAGTTATTATATTATAGTATATGTTTAGAATTAATTTAATTTATGTCTTTTTTGACAGGATATTCATTGGAGGCCATACATGATGTGGGAATTACCCGGTGACCTCCAGTCCAATATCGATTGGGTTAGACGGGTAAGTCCCATTTTTGCCAACAACTATGTGGTGCATCATGCACCACATTTGCTTGCAAAACAATTTGGTTTGGCAAACAACGTCAAATATACACTGTATCACATCGGAATGAAGGATAATCGGGGATCAAAATCCAACAATTGGACTAAAAAATATGAAGTTCATATCGCGAAGTGGATGAACCCATTATTTTTGGGAGATCCACCAGCAGTCCACAGAGGTAAAAGCACGATTATAGTCTTTGAGCCCTCATTTATTTTTATTTTTTTATAAAATAGTCCATATTATTATTTTAATTATTATTTTAATTGAACTCAGAAACCACCCCCATAAAAGATTCCCTCCCTCATATCCAAGATGATACAGGTTGTGAGTGGCAATTTTTTAAATAGTCTAATCATTATTATTATTATTATTATTATTATTATTATTATTATTATTTGACTTATTTTTGTCATTTTGATTCAGAGACCTCCCCCAGTAGAGAAGATATCCAGCACTCCCCCCCTTGCAGCTCTCCCCCGGCAGCGAAGATCCTCCCTCCTCCAGCAGAGAAGATCCCTCCAGCAGAATATCAAAAGTTGCGGGTAGTCAGAAGCTGCAGATTTTGAGGGCCTTTGAGCCCTTGTTTTTTTTAACTTTCCGAATCATATACCATTAATGGTTTATTTTGAATCATATACCATTAATGGTTTATTTTTTAACTCAAGTATTCTTTTTGCTACAAGATCCTCATGCTGCCCATCAAGAAGCTGGTCCTGACCCTCCAGAATCATTTGAGCCAATAACAGGTATTTCTTTTTAAAAAAACTCGACTGTAAATCTACTTGTATTATTTTATAGAAAATTCTGACCGAGAAATACAAGACTGAGATAGAAAAGTGGACAAGATTACTCTTTCTATTGGAAGGTCCCGAGCCTCTTGAATCAACAATGGGTATATATAAACATGTTATTCTTTCATTGCTGGAAATACTACACGGTTTTCATTTCATACTTGAATTATTTTATAAAAAATTCTGACAAGTATTCGTTTTGCTAGAAGGTCTCCGTACCCCCTTGCAGCCCGATCTCCCCTCATCCTCCTTGCAGCCCCTCCCAGTAGTTCCATCTCAAGACGCTTCAGGTAGTGAATCAACTCCTTTTCTACAATTGTTCACAAAAATACTTGAATTATTTTATAAAAAATTCTGACAACTTTCTGACTTGTAGAACATTGATGCCCTGCCCTACTTTTATTTTGATTCAGGGAAAGAACTTTCCTTCCAATATACCCCATCCCCCTTGCACCCTGCCCAGAAATAGAATCAACAGAACTTCACCTGGCCGTTAGAAGAGAGAGGCGTATCTGTGGGCCCCCCATCAGGCTCACATATAGTAGAAAACGCAAAAGGGGAAGACAAGGTAACATTC